CGTGCATCGAGTGCCCGGATTTGACAATCGTGTCTTTTCTAAAAGCAAAGACAGATTGAGAAACGGGAGAGGAAGAATTTTATATTCTATCTCCCGGTGCTGAAGAGGAAGAATTTTATATTCTATCTACAGCTGGAAAGGGAACTTGAGGTGGGATCCCCCACCCCCAGAATCCGGAATGATGAACTGGGAGTGGGTTCTCCACTCCGAGCATCGGAAAGGAAACGGGAGAGGAAGAATTTTATATTCTATCTCCCGGCGCTGAAGAGGAAGAATTTTATATTCTATCTACAGCTGGAAAGGAAACTCGAGGTGGGATCTCCACCCCCAGAATCCGGAAGGACGAAACTAAGAGTGGGATCTCCACTCCGAGAATCGGAAAAAATCGGATAACCTTAACTGTCGGAAGGTTTGATTACTCGATTTGAAAGTGGACCTCTCGTTCATTGGGGGAATCGAGAGGGGATTTTGACTGTGGTCCTAACTGTATAAAGGTTTGACCAAGCAGGAGTTTGAGACGACCCTAACTGTAGGAAGGTTTGATCACTCGATTTGAAAGTGAACCTCTCGTTCATTGGAGGAATCGAGAGGGGATTTTGGCTTTGGCCCTAACTTTTACAGGTTTGACCAGAAAACACAGAAAGTGGAATACAGGTAGCAAAGAGAATGCCAACTCGTATTATCACTCACAGGGAGACTTTGAATGCTAGGCGTTCAGGACCTAGCACGTTAAGTCTGCAAAATGCCAATGACGGGCAAATGGAAATGTTGGTGGATCCACTGTCGTTTGATTTGATCAGCGGATGGTTTGGTGAGGAAAGATTAACCTACCAGAAGATTGGATCTCTTCTCACAAAAATAACTCATAAGAGTTAGAGAATAAGAAGAGACATTCTGACCTTCAGGGTTCGAATGTAGATTTCTCCTTCGTCAATTCCACAAAGACCGGGTTATCCCTAAGAATACCCCTGTGGTATTCTTTCGGGAACTTCCCGATGCATTGGATAATCCACCCCCAGTTTCTCTCTTGGAACTGGGTTTGACTTGGTTGTCCGACCGGGTTATCCTTAAGAATATTAGCGTAATATCCTCCAGGAACTTCCCGTCAATGGTGGGAAATAGTTTAGACTCATATACCTGTTGGAGTATCAGGGAGCAGTTTAACCTCATATACCGGTAGGAGGAATGAGAAACAGTTTATACTCGTATACTCTTTGGAGTGAGAAGCAGTTTATACTCTTATACTTATCGGAGCTGTTGTGGCGTTTGATTATCGTCAATAACTGTTGCAGGTGCGTCCCCTTCATCATGAGGTACGAGACTCGAATTCAGAGGGCTAACCATCGGTTGGCTCCTCTCGGCTTTCCTCCTTCTGAGGAAGCGTTCGGCCTGTTCTCCGCGTACATTCAACTCTCTCCAGGTATTGAGCGGCTCTACTCCCATAACGTCCAAAATGTTAATGGACAAATTGTTATGACAAGTCTGCAAGATGAATTCCTCCGTGACGGGATCCTTGCAGTTCATTGCCTGATTGCGGAAGCGTTTGATGAAGGTATCCACCGACTCTCCGTCTTTTTGTTTCTCATCGAAGAGTGTCCTGACCGACACTTCGGTGTCATCATCGAAGAAATGAGCGAGGAACATGCTCTCCAGGTCCTCCCAGCTGTTGATGCTTCCAAATTTAAGACGCCGATACCAATCGAAGGCAGGCCCGCGAAGGGTGCCGACGAATGACCGAACCATCAAGGCTTCATTGCCGGAGATCGTGCCCAAGTGGGACTTGAAGTAGATTAGATGCTGAGTGGGCGAGCCCTTCCCGTCGAACGGCGTGAAGTTGATCAGGTTGAACTTCGCTGGATACGGGATCGAGTCCCACTCTTTCGGGTAAGGACACAGAATGCCGGTCTTCTTTACCTCTCAAGCAGACATTAGATCCTTAATTTTTCTCTCGAGGTTCTTCATCTTCTCATCCTCGTCTGTATCATGTTTTGGATGATTTTCAAGAGGAACAATGTGGTTACCCCGGCATTCGGATACGGGATCGAATCCCACTTTCTCGGGTAAGGACACGGAATGCCGGTCCTCTTCACCTCCCGAACAGACATCAGGGCTTCGATTTTTCTTTCGAGCTCCTTTATCTTTTCGGCCTCACCCATATCCTGTTTTGGATAAGTTTCGAGAGGAATCATACGGCCACCCCCAGTGTTGTCATTACTGGTGGGTCCACCCCCAGTGTTGTTATTTTTAGTGGGGCCACCCCCAGTATTCTTGGGCGGTGCGTCGGCCATGACGATTTCAACCACCTCCGGATTGCTGCTAACTGCGGCGTTCTGGGCGCGACGGCTGGATTCCACTAGCTGATTTGACAAAGCTCGGATTTGTTGGTCGTGCATTTGTCTCATCTCTTGTATAGCCATTTCCATTTCGAACTTGAAGATTTCCTTCTGCTTAGTCAGGGCCTCTTCAATGATTTTGGCTATCTGCTCGGTATTGATCACGAACACTTCTCGAGCTTGCCCTATGCTAGACGTTGTGTCGTCGGAGGCGAGCGCGGAATAAGAATCTGAGAACTCATCATCGGAATGGACTCCTTCTTGGACCCCATGGTCATTGTTATATCCGATGGCTTCTAGCTGAAGCTGAGCTATTCCCGAATTGACCCTGCTTTCTAAAGAGAAATTAGGGTTGGAACCACTTGAAATGATTGGAGATTTTCCCTTGTTGACCATGTTGATGGTAACTTCTAGGGGTTCATCCTCTCGAGCAATCGATCCTCTGAAATTCTCTCGAATATCGAGCCCCTCTGCGGAGCGGTCTTGGGGCAGCTACATGTTGATAATACTGCCCTGATAAATTTGGTACACGGACAGTGAGAATCCGCTTCCCAGATGTTTCTCTTTCGAGATTCATTCGCATCCCTAGCCTGATAGTACAACTCACCGACGTTGCGGTCGGAGTAACCTATCGGCTGCTCACATGGGTTCTCAGGTATAACGCGTTCGTCTGTCCGACGTGTTTTCTTCTGAGTAAACATTGCCTTGTTGGCCTCTGCAAGAGTCGCACGTTTGGAATCACACCTTTGTGAGGGTGAAACCTTAACGGGCTCTTGATCTTTTGCACACACCGCCAAGCGGGTTGTTGCAATCAATTTGTTAGGAGGTCGTGTACGACCCCCAGTCTGGATGTTGGCTCGAAGCTCCTTTAATGATCTCCAGTTTTCCTTATCAAGCGCTTTTCCTCGATTCTCGGGTAGAGCGCCGATACGATCCTTCAGAGGATTCCTAAACTCGAGGAAATCTCCGCTGCGGTGGGGATTCATCGGAGGTTCGGGATCTGAAGTTGACGAAGGCCGGAGAGCAACGTCGCCTGCTTTTACCTTAGGCGTTGATTTGGCCTTTGGCACCCAAACTCGTTTGGATTTCGGCGATCTCTTAACTGTCTCTTCCTTTTGCATTCCTCGTGCTTTTTGCACCAGGGCTCGGGCATGCGCACGCAAGGCGCGACGCTTCTGGATTCGCTCCTCGAGAGTAGAACGGGTTCTTTTAACACGAACCCATTTGTTCGTTTCTGCTTTGGAGGAGGGGCTGGTTGTTCACCGTTGTTGCTCTTGGCGCTGTCTGGACTTGAGATCTTCATTGTAGCGGATCCCATCCATCGGCTCCAAAGCCTTGGCCAGCTGACGAGCAAGGCGTTGACGCCGTCTTTGGCGTGCTCTCTTTGATAATGCTGGAGCGTTTTCAGTAGCTATCTCCTCGGCGGAGGCGAAGTCCGGATCTGCGGTCTCGACCACGTTGGACGACGCGGGGGCGTCGCGTGGTGCAAGTGCAGAGGAGAAGTCCTGATCTGCGATCTCGACCACGTTGGACGACGCGGGGACGTCACGTGGTGCAAGTACAGCGGCGGCAACGGGGTCTTGGATCTTCGAGCTGAATGTCCTGCAAACATTTATGGAAGAGGTTACCTTCGTGCGCCTGTTCGGAGAGGCGGATCTGGAGGAGGAGGAAGAGAGGCCTTTTTCGAACTTTTGCCGATCAAACTCGCATTCGATCTCTTCATTCACCCGGATCTTGAATGCCGGTTGCGTCACGACGGCGTCGGTAGCGATGCCGTTGGCTCCCACTGTGGTCGCCAGCTTGTTTGCGGAAAAAGTTGTTGTATTCATTGCTGCATTCATTACAACTTCAATCGTTACAATGAAACAAAAAGATAGCCTTTTTATAAGACTCGTACACAATGAAAACAAAAGAAATACAACTCCTTTCAAACAAACGCAAGATCTGTTTGTCATCTCTTGCTTGCGTGGGTCTTTTGCCTGTGACGGGGATGTTGATATCCGTGGACCACCGGGACACTCAGATCTGGTCCGAGAAAATCGGGCAGAGTTTCGTCTATCCGCGGGGGATTTTAGAAACTCTGAACCTCGTCGATCCGCGTGGGATCTCAGAAGTGTAAAGCTTATAAGGCTCTCCAAAAATCCTCCCTCAAAACAAAGAGGTAAGGGGGGTATTTATAGGTGCTAGGGGACCTCTAGGGGCGTAGACACCCCCTGGTGTCTCGGCCATGGCCGAGACACCCCTGGGGTGTCTAGGCTTTTCCTAGACACCTCCGGGGTGTTTCGACCTCCCGAGACTCCGTTGAGGTGTTTGATTGTTTTCCCCGTAAATTCTTCGTCCGAACTCGGATTTGGGTGATTCCGGGTGCGTTGGATGCTTGACGAAGAGTTCGATCCGCTCTGGTGGTTGGATTATCTGTAGAGTGGTCGAGGCACGAAGGGCGTTGTCCTTTTTTGTGAACACCGCCGGGTTCCCGATTGGTCCGGGTCTTGGTTGTTCCGAAATCCTATAAGCTCACGTAGCTCGTCGATTCACTTCAGTCGTTCGTCGACGTCAATTGGACTCCTGTGGCTCGGATAGTGACGTTCATCGTCGCTCTTTGACACTGAACCGTTCGTGGAGACCTATAGGCAATTTTCAATGCCTACAGTGGTCTTGCGCTATCAGCCATCTGAACAAGAATCAGTCGCTTGGACGAAATTTTAGCCACCTGTTTTTAGTTCGACGAAAACCCAGTTTCTGTGGATTGTTGTCAGAGACGTTTAGATGTTTGGGCAGATGTCCGGGTGAACAACTTCTGCCATCTTATTGTTCATCCGTTTGATTTGTTTTGAATTGGTGTTAACTCTTTTTTAATGCATAGTTTCGTCTGTTGAAACCTCTGAAGCACGGATTCGCCCCCGGAGGCCACGAATCCGTGTCCGACTCGAATCGGACACGGATTCGTTACGACACGTGCACGACACGTGTCGGACACGGTCAATCCATGTCCGACACAGGTCAATGGTTAAATTAGGCTCGGACACGGCTCGGATTCGCCAAAGGCCGATTCATTCGGGTTGCGGGTTTGGTTGTTAAAATCCAACCCGAACCGTTTGATTAAAAAATTCATCCCTATTTCTCAAATTTCCTGTTCAATTCGATCCTCTAACTGACTCAAACGAAAGAAAATAAGAAAAAACCTTAACCCTAATCCTCTCTCTCAATCTCTCAGCTTCCACTTCATCTTGAGGTACTTTTTCTTTACAAACTTGTTATTTTGTGATAGATTCATATTTTAGATTGTTAGTTGAATTTTATAAATTTTTCTATATATAATAATTTTTTAAAAAAACCTTGTCGTATCACCGTATCCTATTTTTTTAGATTTTACCGTATCCCGTATCCGTGTTTGTGTCCGTATCCGTGTCCCGTATCCGTATCCGTGCATCATAGGTTGAAACTATATACCTGTTTTTAAACAGTGTATAAGAGAGTTGTGATTATTTGATGATGTAGTAGTCTTATGAGATACCTACACAATATATGGAGTGTTTTGATCACTTAAATAACTTAGCACATGCATAAATGAGTATAAAATTCCTATAAGGCGAACGAACGGAAAAATAAATATCGTTATGAAATAAATGGTGCTAGAGTTGACATGTTGGAACATACATCATAATCTTTGTACATGTAGACTGGCGTAGAGAAGTGTACCTTGATTTAGTTAGTCTTAATACATGAGTTAACTAGACAACTGATCCCTGTTCTAGATCGTTCTGGTTAGTACTAACTAAATTGTGTGTGGTTACCTTATGATTTGGATTTAGTGCATAACATTACATGTAGAAATTACATAACAACGGGGATGCGGGATAAGTAATGAGATGAATCACGATTTAATGTTGGTTGGTTGGCCAACGAACTTCGATATGAGTGCCTATTTGATTAGTGTGAGTACATGTGTAACCACTTTAAGCGGACAAACTCGAATCATTCCATATCCAAATATGAACACAATTAATTTCTTTAATATGTTGTTTATATTTTGATGTATGTTGTGTGCCCAACACTATATGCTATATCCGTATGGGATGGATGATCATTCTTTTGATTCTTATTTTATTATTGTCTAGCTGATAAGGATATAATTATTATTGTGCGGCTAAGTGTTGATTCTTGAAGTTCCCCACATTTCTCTCTCTTAGACATTACGTCTAACTCTTTTTTGAACCCCCTTCTTCAGGTTGAGTCTGACCGCAACAGACTAAGCCTATCTGAATAAGCAGGTTACGAGGAAGTAGTTGTGCCATGCAGTAGTGCCAATATAGATTATTTGTTTATATTCAGTAGATATTAGATGATCTCTCTCTCTAAGTACATTTATCTAGTATTTGATGCTCGTGTTTGAGCCAATGCTTGTATTTATTTTTGGAGATTGAAGCTTATCTATCTAGTGGATTTGGAAATTTGGACAATTGATAATTCTTTCTCGTTTCCGCTTTGACATTTTGTTGTGATGAGATCTGTACTTTTATGTATATTTGTGTTATGTATAGTTGCAGATATATAACAAAACAAGTTACAGGCTATTGTGGAACACTTTATATATCTTGTTCTATGAATATTCTCTCTACCAGGTTATTACCCGTGAGTGGGGCGTGAAAGTTTGGATATGTTGATATAATAATATCTTCAATAGGATCACCATTTGAATCATCAATGAACTCATCTTGAATTTCTATCGCCGAGTCATTTTCGTGAATCTGAGAAATAACTGTAGATAATGCACCATTTCCTATATCAAGTACCCACTTACTGAAATCTGATAGACTTATTTAGTTGTCATCATTATCAAACTCCTTTAGATGCATATTCTGTAAAAACTTTACATTTATTCCATAGATATGGTTGGCTAATAGAAGCATGTAGTATTATGTCATGTTTTATCCCTCTTGGCATCAGTGAAAGTATTTGCCTAAAATCTCCACTAAGAATCACTTTAGTCCACCAAATTCAAAATTTCATTTTCATTTCCTAATATATCTTGCCAAGTTCTATCTACCGGTTCAAATGTATTTGCGTACCATTGGTGCCTTATCCCATATAATGAGACTCGTTTCTTTCATTAGTTTAGCTTCTGGTGATCCTTGCCACATGTGGAAGTTTCTTTGAGTTGTTTTATTTGAAACCTAGAATGTGCAGTTCTTCCGCTTGGTAGCAAAATAATAGCTATACTGGAAGATGCTACAGCCAACATTATTTTACCTTCTGAGCTGAGGTGCGAAATTATTAATTTCCATACATATGTTTTATCTATTCCCCCATGTCCATATAGTGAAAAAAATTCCTCCTTTTCGCTGGACAGATTTAATTATTGCATCATATACTACTCTCTGTTGTTGATTAATTAAGCCCTTCAAATAATTTATCATGTTCTCTTTTAAGCTCTTCTCTGTCAAAGTTCAACTCATCAGCAATAATTTTGTCTCTATATTGTTTTAAAATGTTGTGATTTGGTAAGGGCATCCCTTGAAAACCTTTTAATGATTTTTCATTTTGGAGTAGTAAATACTCAACTTTAGGTAGAGTATTGAGTTTTCAATCGTTCATCACTCATAGACGAATTAGGCATTCTCATGATTTTTGTTTGGCCCTCAAGAATACCTTCTGAAAGAGAAATGAAGTTATCTTCAAACAACTTATTCGGATTGATAACTTCACAAAAAGTTAATAGAAAAGAAAAATCTGTCTCATTCGTCTGCCTGATGCTGTAAATGATGCTTCATTCATAATGTATTGCCAGTCATTATCATTGTCCAATAATCTCAAAGCTCAACATTGTTTTCTAAAAATATCATGCACACTACCGACATTTGTTCTGATTTTAGCAATGATGTTGGTCCCTTCACAATGTTTAGAAGTAAACGCGGATAGAATCTTTTACCGGATGAAGGATGCCAATAAACAATTCTCCCTATATTGCCTTTCGCTTGTGGCTTCCATTTAGTTTCATCAGATTTCCACACAAAATGTGAAGGGAATTTAACATAACTCAAATTTCTTGCTCGAAATATATCTTATTTGCTTCCATCCATCCCATGAACCTTGTCTGTCTTGACTCAATGTTATTTATTATCTCCTGTAAATTGTCATTATGTATGATTGATTGCTGCTCTGGTAGATGGAAAAGAAGTCTCTCAACTGCAGGTACTCTATAATGAATGTCAAAGCCATATATCCTCTATAGTGCAAATTCAGATATCTTCTGTGTTATCAAATATCAGTAAGTGGGCATGTTAATAATAACAGCATGCTTGTCCCACTTCTAAGTAGTGTGAACTTCACTTGAGTTTTAGGATCCTTTTGCACTGTTATCACTTTCACCGTAACTTTGTTACTATCCAACTGAAGCTATGATGTATCATATCATCTTTTAGTGCATATTCTTGCAACGATTGCTTTGTTTATACAATGTTTTCCCCACTTTTTTCCCCTGAAAATTGCACTGTGGGTGTGTTTATATACCTACACACACTTCCCTCTTTCTGTATGTGTGCTGTCTATAGATATGTGGAAAAATAGGTATCAGGTGGTTACCCTTCGTTCCTCCCTCCCTCCCTCCCTCCCTCCCTCTATCTACCTGCATATAGTGAGTAGGAGTGTAGCAAGTGATTATACTAGCTTGTACCATGTGATAAAGTATAGAGGTACTTCAATTATCTGTTTTTTTTTTAGGGTGGAGTTCCAAGTAAAACATTTATATGGAAGTTATCCTGCCATTCAGGGATGACATTTATTTTTAAAGTGTAAAGTTGTAAACATACTTCTACATTAAGCGTCTGATTCTATTTCCTTTTTTAATTTATTAGTCATGAAGTGTTACTATAATCGATAACATGTGTGCCCAGTTAGTGAATTTTATCAGATAGTGGACCCGTCTAATTTCTGGTTTAATTTTGAAGGGATTCAGTATGAGCTAGTGACTTTGTCCTATCCTAAGCCACCTACCCAGTGGCCACATACTCCAGCAAACAGATCTGTTGTTGATTGTGATAGTAATTCGATTTTGGAAGATGAGCCCAGTGCCAAGGTACTTTACATTGTACCGTCTCAATTTACCTTTTGTTGTTATACTTGTAAATTTAGTATTAGCTTTACCTGGATTTTTCCAACTTTTTAATATTTGAAAGTTTAAAATTTTAGTTATACAGTTTGTGTATTTTTCTCAGTTGTTTCTTTTAATGAGATATATCTGGCATGTATCTTCTTTCATTATTTACTTCTATCCTTTCATTTGTTTAGTCGGACCAATTTTATTGTTTGTAAATGTTAATCCATCTTCTTAGAAGCATCACATGGCTGATTCCAACAACAATAATGAGTCAATAACACAACCAAGAGAAAACAAAGTGTTTATAATTATCTGTTCTCTGTGTGTGTGTGTGTGTCTCATGTTTAAAGTAATTCAATTCTTACATGGTGATGTTGTAAAATACTATATGTATGCCAATTATTTAACTTGTTGTATACATACATATTCAAACGGGAGTAATCTTTAACTTTGCTAGATAGTAAATGTGTTTCGTGTTTATTCTAACTTATTTAATGTTGTTTATGGTTTGTGAGTTTACCAACTAAGATCCAGGGTTAGATTACAATTAACATGTAAAAGATTATCAGAATTAAAATAATATTAACAACTTGCTGAAAAATATACTAAAATATTTTCTTCTGGAAAATGTACAAAATTTATAACCTATTAGAAATAGGCTTAAATACATTGTGAACAAAATAGAGCTTTTCTGTCCATTTTCCTTTTGCGTCAAATGATTATTTTAACGAAGCAAATTCTTGAACAAAGTTTGCAACTATGTTCTAAACCTGTCTTACATGCAACCATTATTCTGCCTTTTTAAAGCAATATATCACAGTTGTTGACAGGCAAAAAGATTTTCTTATTTTTTTAATCTTTTTTTTCTGATCTTTTGTTTTTTTTTTCCCAGTAAGGGTGCAGGTGTCGAGTTCCAATATCCTGAAAGAATAGTCACATGCTACTCAATTATTTTAACAGTTTCCCTAATTTGTTCACATTTAATTCGGTAATCACCCCATTCTTCTGATGTCAACTCTATTTTTCAGTTTGAAATTCATATCTTTATGACTAAAACTCAAGTTAGAATGATCTTGCTTAAAATGCACTAATACCTGAACTTACATATTTAAAAATGTAAAATTATCTCCTGTCAAACCCTGATTATCCATAACTACAGAAACTGCAGATAAAGCATTTAGATTTCCAATGAATGGGTATTAGACTTATGTGAAAAGTATGCGGAAGAAAAAAAACTAGAGCCTTTCAACTTTGCCCCATTTGAGCCACCCAAAACAATGGTAGGAATGTTTCTCCTGTCCTCAAGCAACTTAATACAAACATATGTGAAAAGTATGCGGAAGAAAATAACTAGAGCCTTTCAACTTTTCCCCATTCGAGCCCACTCAAAACGATGGTAGATTGGTAGGAATGTTTCTCCTGTCCTCCGGCAACTTACTTGTGTCTTAAAACCCAAGGACAGGCTAAAATGACAACGGTTACATATTACATTTTGTTTCTCTGCCATCATAGAGACATTATGGTAAAAGTATGTAAGTTAATTGAAATCAGTGAGTCAGTATTACTTTCATGAGCCTCATACTAGATGACAGAAAGTATATAATATTTTCTTATTCTGGCTACATATCCTGTTTTGTTTTCTCATTCTGGGGGGAAAACCTTCCCAAAGATATTTGATGTCTGCTGGATGCAACCAAATGAAGGATTCCTCTGGGGTCATTAAGAAATTTTCGAAGTATATAACATTTTCTTAATCTAGTTTTGTTTTCTTATAATTAATGCTTTGAGAAGTCCTATGAATTCTTAATCCGAATGTAGTCACTAGAAATTCATCCTACTCCAACGAGCCTAAAAGAGTAGGTAGATGTTAACAGATAGATAAGTAATATCAATACATTTGACTGCATGTTGTATCATGGAGATTAACCCATGAACATTCACCCTTTTGTTTTCAAACTATGTTTTTTTGCTTCTCCCAAACACCCCTGCCAAAAAGTACATGCATAGCACATAAAAACAGAAGGAAAGAAAAACTCGCCCCCTCAATTTATATATCCCTTAACCTGTTGAAGGACCTCAAAATTTGCTGGAAGATGGTTATTATGATGCCAATTATATATATCCCTTAACCCATGAACATTCACCCTTTTGTTTTCTAACTATGTTTTTTTGCTTCTCCCAAACACCCCTGCCAAAAAGTACATGCATAGCACATAAAAACAGAAGGAAAGAAAAACCCGCCCCCTCAATTTTATATATCCCTTAATCTGTTGAAGGACCTCAAAATTTGCTGGAAGATAGTTGTTATGATTGCCAATTATGTTTGTGTTTATGTATATTATTAGCGTAGATCATTATTGCTTTATGACCTCTTGCTGAAGAACCCACATCTAAGAGAGGCTGGTGTGTTCTCTGCTACTTGAAATGTTGAAATGTTACGCAGAATGTTTTCTACAATTATTGCGGTCCTTTTGTCTTGTCTCTAATTTACGATTTGCAACCTTGGTTTAGTCCTATCATATAAAGGTTGTGTGCACGAGACATTCTTCATCTCTTGCATGTGAAACACCCTTTGCGTGTAAATCATGATTGAAGAACAGCAAGGATGAGAGTTAAAGAGGGCCTCACAAGTGTTAATCACTTGCACGTGGAATTATATGGAGTTTATTGTGGCAAGATGATAGCTTCATTCTCACTTGGTTTGAGTCAATTAGAGCGGCAGTTAACCCTTCTTTTAGAAGAAATTATATGGAGCTATCGCATAGCATTGACATTTTTTTTAATTATATTAGAAAAGTATATTATAAACATCTCCATCTTTCTAGACGATATCAGCTATAAATTGATCCTACTCGGAATTCACACATGCTAACAAGTTCTCCATTTGTTACATCGATAATGTAAATGTGCGTAATTTTAATCGTTTTTTTATCTGATGAATATTGTATAAATAACAGCAAAGGAAACCCAACGAGCCTGAAAAGATCTCAACAGAGGAGCCTAGTTCTTGCAGTGAGAAACAAAAGGAGCCTACTTTCAGCTGCCCTATTTGTATGTGCGAAATTGTTTCTCCTTTCACCACACTCTGTGGTCATATTTTCTGTGAAGTTTGCATCAAGACTGCCATCAAGAAGCAGAAGAAATTATGCCCAACTTGCCGAAGAAAACTTACAGGGAAAAACAACATTCACCGAGTTTTCCTTCCATCGCTAGACTGAGGCAACATGAAATCAATTATCGGATCATGGAAGCTGATGTTGTGCTGTAGTTTGTTTGATCTGAAACCGGTTCTCATTTGAAGTGCATAGACAGTAAGTATGAGCAATATGTTCTGTTGTATTCCTAATATAGAAACTAACGCACCTTTTTTTTAATGGGAGAAATTGAAGTACTCGGGAAACCCATTTTATCAAATTTCGAATAATGTATATGCAAAGTTTACCGCAGATACTGATTGCATTCTTATTTGCATTGTGTTTATCTGCCTTGTTTTGTACAACGGCAAAGGGTTACCGCATTCATGTGCATTAGCAGATATAAACTCTGCTGTTGCGCTTAACATCTTGGTTTTATTGATCTCTGTTATATGCTTGAGAGACTAGAAGTAGTAAAGGAAAAACAAGGTCCAAAGATAAAAACAAAACAGGGTAAATTGACAAGTTTACGAACGAAGTCTGCTTTCAAGTTTCAAGGCAAGAACAGCAACAACAGCAGTCCACGCAAACTTCTCCAACTGGAGTTCGATGGCCCTGTCTCCTCTGCTAAACAGCCCCATTTCTTTTTTTTTTATTTTTAAAATCGACCTTTTTTATTTATTTATTAAAACCGACCCTTTTTTTGTCACGTCAGACTAATCATTTTCCTAAACAGTCGGGGTTGCCAACCCCGACTATTTAGGATATAATTTTTTAGAGTTTAAGGCTTCTAATTGGGGATTAACACCCTCCTAAATAGTCGGGGTTGGCAATCCCGATTGTTTAGGAAAGTGATTAGGCTGACGTGGTAAAAAACGGGTCGGTTTTGGTAAATAAAAAAATGATCGATTTTAAAAATTAAAAAACAAAATAGGACTGTTTTGAAAAATTGTTCTTTTGGATTATGTTCCTTTTTTTTGGCACTTGCTACGATATATATGCATTTGATAACTATCTATGTTGGTTCTATTATTCAAATATATATCCTCTAGACAGTCCCCCCCCCCCCTTTTTTTTACGTGTTGCTCCATGATTTTGATGCACTTTGAGGTTCTACTAATAACAGACCGCCACAAAATATAGTGGGGGAACCGTCACAAAATTTTCAGTTTTTGTGAAACCATGGTAGTATGCACTTAAAACAATGTACCACCAATGCGCAATCTCCATCTATATTTAAGTAAATTGGGCTGAGGTTTATTATAAAAATCTTTAGTTCTACCTAAGGGATCTCTTCCATTTGGAGTCTTTCTAACTAGAATTTTTGAGGCTTTTCATGTTGAACTCGAAACTGAAAATTCTATGATTCGCTCCATCGACCTCTTTGATTCCAATGCCTTAACTCGAATGAAATTAAGCAACTTTGAAATTCACCAAGATGAGCCTCGCTCTCAACCAGAATAAAATCCCCAAGATATACCACAAGCCACTCATGAAGCTGGACTCTCTACTAGTCACTTTCCACCACCAATAAATGAACCTTCTTGCTTCTCAGACGCACAATACAACACTTTGTCCGCTCGAATACTTGATTTGGAAACTGGACAAAAAGCTTTGTATGATCAAAATGTACTTGTGCTGAAGAATCAAGAAGCGTTAACCAACAAGTTTGATATTTTGGGCTTGAAGCTTGATACAAAGAACATGAAGTTTGATACTTTGGACATGAAGCTCAATGCGTTCTTTCAAGGAAATCAATCCCCACCATGCCCATCTTCTTAGGAGACTTTGCACGCATCATGTAGCTTTGCACTAGTTTTAGTTTGTTATATCAAAAATAATTAAGTACTTAGTGTGTTTGTATGTTTAATTCTGTCAAAAACTTTGTGTTAGTTGTTTGTTTTTGTTTAAGAATTATGTAATGTTGATATTATGTTTTATGTTGCTACTGTGTTTTCATGCTTGATGAATGTTATGATATCATAATCATGCTTATTTTGTTAGAAATATTTCCTATATATTTTGTTCATGAGTTATACATATTTTAAACAAATTGTGAAGTGGAAATTGTCAAAATTTTGTAATTATGGCAAGTCTTTGCCTACCCATATGGATGGGTGAAGTGATAGACTATGTTCACAATCTGGAAGATCTTTTTGAAGTGTTAGCTCATGAAGAAGAAATTATGACATGTTTAGAATAGATGTTTATTTCTTTTTGTTAATGACAAAGAGGGAGAATGGTATAAATGTTATGTTATTTATAAAAATTGTAGATTCTAATATGCTTTTATGCAGGGGGAGTAAGTATATTTGTTTATAAATGTTTAATTCTTTTAGAATATACTTACATATGCATAAATTGTTTATCATCATCAAAAAGGGAGAGAACGTTGGATATCATGTCCCCAAGATATAATTTCGATGATAACAATTTATTCATTATGTGTGTCACTATGAGTATTATTGTGAACTAACATATCAATGCAGATATCTGTTTTCGCTAAAAGTTGCCTTCATTGCTGAATTCATTATAATTTTTATTGTTTACAAAGAATTCAAATACTCAACAAAAGAAAGAAATAAAGGGTTACAACTCTCTCGAAAATAACGCAAGATCCGTTCGTCGTCTCTTGCTTGTGTGGGTTTTTGGCCGGTGACGGGGATGTCGATATCCGTGGACTACCTGACAATCAGATCAGATCCAATACTCTGTCGATTCGCGAAGGAATCTAGAAGCAGAAGCGCTTATCTCGACAACGGCGAGATAATTGCTCTTCTTAAGATTACCGCAACGGGATAATCCTAAGGAACGGACACGGGTGATGTAGATCTGAAGAACCTTTCTCTTCTGTGTTGAAGAACTCGATCAATCTTCAATACGGTAGGGCTTTGCCAATTCTCCAAAATTTCAGATCTCAAAAAATAAAGTCCTGTGGCTGTATCTATAGGCTCCAGGAACTCCGGGCGGTTAAAACCGCATAACGGCCTGTTTTTAGGGCTGGAGACACCCTTGGGTGTCTCGGCCTTGGCCGAGACACCTTGGGGTGTCTCGGTTGGGCCGAGACACCTCGGGGTGTCTCAACTCAGGCTGAGACGCTTCGTTTTGCACACTTATTCGTTTTCGCCGTAACTTCTTCATCCGAACTCGGATTTGAGTGATTCAAAGTACGTTGGAAAGCCGACGAGGAGTTCTATAAGCTCCAATGATTAGATCATTGTGGATTAAGCTGGGATACGAGCGGCGTTTCGCCTTTTGTAAGCGATGCGGGGCTCCCGATCAGTTCGTGTCTTCGTTATTCTGAAACTCCGTTACTTCACGTAGTTCGTCGATTCACTTTAAGCGTTCTTCGACGTCAATCAAGCTTCTGTAACTTAGATAGTAAAGTTCATCGTCTTCTCTTAGCTTTGAGCTGCTCGTGGAGACCTATAGGCAATTTTCAACGCCTACAGATACCCCCTCCAAAGCGTTCTGGACTCGTTTTTTTTATAGAAGAGGCTGGAATACTTTGGATGTGATTGGTCCAGCCTTCGGTCGGCGTAGAGGACCTGTAGTTAGCTTCAATTCTTGACTCCTCTGATTTTCAATCTATTCGATGCTTTGACGAATAGCTGAAGTTCTTTCGGCGCTGTGTTTATCGTTTGGCCGTCGTCGGAGTCTCGAATCTAAAATTGATGAGTTGAGTTTGGTTCGTGTCATTGAGTTGACTTATGGCCGTCGTCGGAGTCTCGAATCTAAAATTGATGAGTTGAGTTTGGTTCGTGTCATTGAGTTGACTTAGAACTGACTACCTCCGTTGTATCGTGCTGACTTAGGGTTTCAGATCGCTGTAAGTTGACTTTTGTCACAACGCGTTGACCGGCGTTGATCTAGGATTTTGGATCGCCTGACGTTGACTTTTTCATCGCAAAGCGTTGATTGGCGTTGACCTAGGGTTACGCATTGACCAGCGTTGACCTAGGATTTCGGATCACCCGACGTTAACTTTTGGTCGCAATGCGTTGACCTAAGGTTACGCATTGACCGGCGTTGACCTTAGGGTTTAGATCGTCGTACATTGACTTTTTCATCGCAACGCGTTGACTGGCGTTAACCTAGGATTACGCGTTGACCGACGTTGACCTAGGGTTTTGGATCACACGACGTTGACTTTTGATCGCAACGCGTTGACTGGCGTTGACCTAGGGTTACGCGTTGACCGGCGTTGGCCTTAGGATTTAGATCGTCGTACGTCGACTTTTTCATCGTAACGCGTTGACTGGTGTTGACCTAGGGTTACGCGTTGATCGGCGTTGACCTTAGGGTTCAGATCGTCGTACGTCGACTTTTTTATCGCAACGCGTTGACTGGCGTTGACCTAGGATTACGCATTAGCCGGCGTTGACCTAGGGTTTCGGATCACCCGGCATTGACTTTTGGTCGCAACGCGTTGACTGGCGTTGACCTAGGGTTACGTGTTAACCGGTATTGACCTAGGGTTTCGGATCCCCGGCATTGACTTTTGGTCGCAACGCGTTGATTAGCGTTGACCTAGGGTTACGCATTGACCGGCGTTGACCTAGGGTTTCGGATCACCCGACATTGACTTTTGGTCACAACGTGTTGACTAGCGTTGACCTAGGGTTACGCGTTGACCAGCGTTGACCTAGGGTTTCGAATCGCCCGGTGTTGACTTTTTCATCGCAACGCGTTAACTGGCGTTGACCTAGGGTTACGCATTGATCGGCATTGACCTAGGGTTTCAAATCGCCCGGTGTTGACTTTTTCATCGCAACGCGTTGACTGGCGTTGATTTTCATCAAAATATCCACTAACCGATGAAAACGGGCGAAAATCGCACTTTAAAAATATCTGGGGGTTCGAACTGGGCCAAGACACCCTTGGGTGTCTCGGCCCAAAGGCCGAGACACCATAGTGTCTCTCCCCCCTTTTCTTTTGTCTCTTGTGTTGTGTATTTTCCCCCCCTCTTTCTCAATTTTTAAAAAGAATCCCTTTTCTTTCATACTTCCTCTTCCTCCTCTTATTCAAAACCTCATTACTCCTCTTCTTCAAGGATCCTAAACCCATTAGAACTCTCTCTTTTAAAAACCCCTCAACCCTAAAAAAAATTCGGATTTTATACCCTCATTTTTTGGCCGAAAATCTCCCCCTCTCAAGCTAGGGTTCCTTTCATCTTCAAGTTCAAGACTTGATCTTTTGGAGTTGGGTTTTGTAAAACCCCGAAAATTTGAATATAGTATGATAAATAATTATAAATATGTTATATGGTAAAAATAATGTATTTTG